GAGTATTAAGGTTATCACAAGAGTCCACAATTAAGGTTGCATAGTGGAATATACTTGGGGAGATGGGAGGGGTGCAGGGGGATTGTGTACCAGGGAGTCTTTCTTTTACTTCTGAAAGAGAGCAGCGAACTGGGGGTGGGGGGCTGGGCGGGGAGAGAAGTGCAGCAATGAATGAATGGAAATCCAAAATCTCTGTAAATGCTCATTATTTAAAAAAAAAAAATAAATAAAGCTTAAGAAGAAGAAAAACCAAAACCCCCCCAAAAAAGAAAGCCTAATCAGTGTAAATCATATTTATGCCAGAGCATAAGAAGCAACTTCACAATATTCCTGGCCTATGGCCCATTAACAGTTGTTCTTCCCTTGATCATTTTTCTCATTGATCATGAAACAGTTTTCTCCTAACCCATTAAGCGCAATAAATAGGACATCAGGTGCAACACACTTTAATGGTACATAAGCTTATTAAAAATGCCCTCATAATTTTTAAATATTTTTAAAATGTTTAACATCTTCATATTTGAGGCAGGCAAGATTATTAGAAACCTAATAATTTACAACAAGGGCAAACACAGTGAATGAAAAGATGTTGACATTCCAAGTATATTATCAAAAAAACAAAATCCATCCTGTAGAGCTGATTTCAACCCACAGTGACCCTAACAGACACCGGGGTGGTGGTGTAGCTTCGTACTGTCAAGTTGGAACAAACACATAGCGATCCTCAGAGGTATTTTCAGGAGCTAGAAACCAAATAGGAGAAGACGTTCTCTTTTTCTCTTTCTCCTGTGGAGCTGCTGGTCGATTCAAACCACCTGCCTTTAGGTGAGCCTCACAACTCCTACCCACTAGGCCCTCAGAGTCGGGTTCCTTTTTATGGTTCCCAAGGCAGCTTTATGGGATTTCCACAACTGGAATCTTCACAGAAGCAAAGAGCCACATGTTTAAAGTGCCACATGTTTCTCCCTGGAAGCCGCCAGTGAGTTCAAAGCACCAACCCTGTAGTTAGCTGTTTTGTGCTTACCTGCAATGCCACTACAGCTCCACATAATTCCAAAACTGCTATCTACCCCAACAGACATTGTGTTAAAAGCTCTTTTCTACCTTAGATTTTCCATTGATAATAAGTTTTTCATTTTAAAGCTGTCTTTCAATTAAGTCACATCACAGTAACTTAACTTTAAAAAAAAAATCACTGTGCTTGAATTCCTTTGCCATAAACCTTTTGTCCTTGTTGCTCTTCTTATTAGTAAAATGTGTGTCATTGATTCAGACTCAGGTTAGGCAAAGAGGTGGGGAAGCCCACTATATGTACCAGGATTGAGGCAACTCTGCAAAGTCATGGAGATGAATATATACGAATCTCTGGAATCCCCTCAGTTTCAAAATTTTATGATACAAAAAACATGATTCAAGCCAAACTTGAAGCCCTGTTACTAAGTGTGCTCAAGATTTTTCCACCATGGACCAATACAAAGATGGGATATCTCTTCTTGTGTAATTTACAGCTTCGGAAAACCCACTGGAGAGTCAGCTAGGAGTAGGTTCCAACCCAAATGCAATGACCAATTTCTGAAATGTTCCTTAATTTCTCAGAAGTGTGATAAATCAGGCATGAAATAATAAAACCGAAGAATCAAGTCAATGAAATGAAGAAAGGCTTTCCTGCACCACAAATATCCATACGAGTACCCCCAGGGTCTGCTCTCTTAGAAAGCTTGGTCTTGTAAAGGTTCTGACCTTGAGAGCAGCTATCTCCATGTTCTCCTAGCTGAATTGTAATGAATTTGTTGAAAGTGAGTAGAAAGTAAGTTCTGGGCCAAAAAACCTAGAAAACTGATGCCCTCACACTGGTGGACAAAGTACAAAAGCAGGCCAATTCTAGGTCAGATAAGTTTAGAACAGGGGTGAACCCTGTTGGCCATCTAGCTGATGTGTCTCCCAATGGGGCCTGAACTGCCAGTTTTATGTGGGGCTCTCAACCTGAATGTGGAAGTGAAATATTATTGAAAAGAAAGAAAAAAAAACCTGTATCAAAATGATACACTGTCACAAGCTCCACTGCCCAGTGACACTTATAAAGACACAGCTAATGAGCATGCAAAAATGAAAGTGTAAATAAATCAAACTGTGTGGCTTATGATTTTGGGTGCAATTAGGCAACTTCAGCAATGAGCAAGGAAAAAACTCGAGAGAGAGCTTTATGCACAGCTGACAAAAAAGCTTTAAAAAGTTACCGCTGACGATCTGACTTGTATGTGGCCGTCAGCTCATCAAACATGGTGCTGTTCATTTCCATAAACGCCTTCAACACGTTGTACACTAACGCCACGATAGCCCTGCAAAGCACAGAGAAATGGCAACATTTTAGTCATTCTTCACATAAAGGATGCTGAACAAAGAAAGCTTAGGCACACTCTTTGAGTGAACTCTTTTTTGCATATTCTGTCTCTAATCCTTTTTTTGGCTGAACAATTAGAAATGACCTCCAGTTTATTTTCCCACTCAGAATTACATTCTTCACTGTTAGGGACAAGGCGTCATTCTGTGGGGTTGGCAAGATTGAAAAAGAAGAATTCTGCCCTAATTGGTGCCCAGAGTAGACTTATTGTGGCAACTACAGAAGTATAAAAATAACGCAACTTCACCTTAAAAATGAAGACCTGAACTGAAATTTATTGGTATTATCTGCAACTGTGCTTATTTAAATTTTTTATTTTATTTTATTTTTTTTTAAAAAAGACTCAAAAATATAAGCAGAAAAGCACGAGGAAAAATCAAGATGAGGCCATGGGTTTATCTTCTACACAGCTTCCTCTTTGGTGTGCATATATTCTAATATACAATAAAGTGAAAAGAAAAAGAACACTGTTGGCAGAATTAACTTTAAGAGACACATATTGTATAAAATTTTATTTTTAAAGGAATAACATATATTCAAGAATATGACCTTTTCAAAGATACGGCACCAGACCCTGTAAATTGGGCAGTGATAGGAGCTCTTTTTTTAGCTGTGACTTGCATTTATCTATCCACTGCTGTTCAGTCTCCTTGCTGTCCCACTTTATGTGCTGGTTAAGACAACTGGAGGCCGACAACAGCTGCTAGGGGCTCTAGAACCCTGTGCTGCAAGGTCCCTAAAATTGAGGCCCCTGCAAATCAAGTAGAATAATATGCCACTGAGCAATATAAGGATTGTTCCACAACAGGTTGGTATTTCTTAGGTTGGGTCTAAGAGCACTCACTGTCTATTCCCAAAAATCACAATTCTGGTTCCAATTTGAAGCACATGTGTTCCTGCCACCACAGAAAAAGGCCCTGGTAACAAGGAAGGCCCAAGTTAAATCAGCTTGATGTTGCTAAAACATTTACAAGAAAGTATACTTGTGGAGCTTCTGCCCTGTGCCTGAAAGTAAAGGCAGTTCTATGATCCGGTGGGACTGACCTTTCTCCCAAATACTGGGCAGCAGTGAAGACGGGCTGTTAGGACACCCACAGAACTACCCCTGTATTTCTCAGGAGACTGGTTGAATACTGGGAGTTGTTGACTAGCTCTTTAGCTCTATAGGTTTAATTACTAAAACTTGGTAAATTTAAACAAGGAGAAGCAGTATATTTTGCCATGGCAAGCAAAACTTTTAAAGAGGAACATATTATGAATATGCCAAACTACTACTACTAATTTTTTAAATGCCATGTTAAATTTGTTTTCAATTCCACAGAGAACTAGGTGCTGGATGTAAAACTATTCTTTCAACATTTTAAACCTTCTCCTTCACCCTTGGGAAATATGCATAGTAACCAGGTGATTAAGAAATGGATCACGCTAAAAAGTGTATCTACTCTGGCCAATCTCTCCAAACACTTGTGGAAGACTCTTACTAGATCTTTTCCACTTTCTAATCTCATTTTCCAGCATTCTCCCCCAAAAAGACTTTGTGTTTTATCCCTCCCAAGAGCACAAGCCTCTGAGCTTGACAGGTGCTTCCTACAAGTTCCTGCTGTTTTATGTGGTGAAAGGCTTCACTCTCTGAAAGGGTGTACTGGATCCCATCCACCTGCCAAAGTTGTTAAGATTCAGTGCAATACCCACAAACTTCCCTTCTCAGCTCTAGAGTGTCCCTAAAATATTCTTACTATCGTCACAGACAGGTCAGAGAGTCCCACAAGTAAGGAAGAGTTGCTGCGGGTCTTCCTAATCAGCCAGTGACTTCCTAAAGGGGAGGGACTCTTTGTATCTTTTCATATTTCTGCCTCCAGCAAAAAGCACATAATTTGCATGTAGCAATCACTCAAAATATTTTCTTAAACGCAAGGGAAGGGATAAAATGGTCAAAAGAAAAATGAGATGCATGAAACTCTGAAAACGTACGGATTCCAGTGTTCTTTCGAAATCCTATAAAGACTGGAGAACATGATGGGAAGGATGACATTCGAGTTTTCTTCTATCAAACTCATGATATATTCATTATTCCAATAATAGAGTGCTCTTTCTGCCACCTTTGGAAAAAGAAAAAGTACACATTAGAGAACGAGACAAAGATAAAAGAAAAATTTATATAAATCAAAATATAAGACTGTAATTTAACCAGTCAATCAAATATAAATATTAATCCTATTTTACATCTTTTAAACTCTTTCAGAAAGTTCCCAAGTGATTTATCAATTTAGGAGATAAAGAGAAGTTCTTTTTCCTCCTGTTTATTCTCTAACACTGCTCGTTTCATTTGCCTCTCTATTTCTCCTTTACAACACTCCCAAGACCCGAGCACATTAATGCTCCTTCACAGACCACAGTTTCCCCATTGAACAGACATCCATTACAGATCACTTCTGTTATTCCACACACTTCAGATCAGCCACGGGCCCACCACGTGGCTGGCATTCATTCAGTTAACAGCTGCTGAGAGAAAGCCAGCTGTCCATCCCTGCTAACATCTACATTTACCAAGTACCTCCTCCAGGCCAGGCACTGAGCCAACACTGCAGGTAAACTGTACGATCCTTTCCACTGTCCTACGAGGAGGCATTGCTTGTGCTTTACAGATGAGAACACCGAGGTTCAGAAAGACTTGTTCATCTATCCAGGGTGACACTGCTAGCCAATGGCAAGAGCTGAGGGACACAAACTTACTGGCCATGTTCTTGGTGATCATTTCTGCTCCATTCCTTAGAACTGGGAAAGCTAGGGGACAGCCACTCAGTCTGGATTTGGGGACACTGAATGAATACACACACGTTTACATTTTAAAATCTCTTTTCTTTGCCCATCATGCAACAGACTGAAACGAAGTGAGTAGCTAAATGGAGAATAAGCATAAATTTCCTTAATTCCCATGTTGTTGTTGTTGTTATGTGCCGTCGAGTCGCCTGCGACTCATAGCAACCCTATGTACAACAGCCCTAAACTCCGCTCTGTCCTGTGCCAATCGCACTGTCTCTGACACTCCCATCCCA